AAAGGCTCCATGAGAGTTGCATAGAAAGTTCCTCGTGAGAGTTTCTACTTTATCCCATTATTTTTTTTAGGGGGATGGGGCGTGGGACCTGTAAAACACATCATTTATTGCCCCCTCGCTTTTGTTGTCGAGGATCGGGCTTCGGGCAAAAAATAGATTCGTGAGGTGTTGAAACGATTCGCGGTACAGCGTGAAAGTTTTGAAACTGTTCCGAGTTACAAACTCTCATGGAACCTTTCCTGTACTCACCAGAAAATTGCGTAACAGACTTTCTGCAGCTACGAAAATTCATATTTATAACGTACCTATAACGAGGTACTACATTATAAGAATTTGTTTCGTAAAAGCATATTTAGGCGTTGAGAAACACGTGTAGGAGACAACGGTAATTTATTTCGGTACAACTGGTGAAATTAACAGGTGAACATTCTCGTCATCGTTCGAGCGTTTTCATTCCAAACGACAGTTCCAAGTGCACGAGGCCAATGGTTCGTTCGAAAATTCAATTTAGATCGGTTATTTATGGCGAACGTGGCCGGGTAACCCCGGAAAACTGGAACACGAATTCCAGCCCCGAAGGAGAACCGAAGAGGCTCGACACCCTGGGGGAGCAATGAGCAAAGATGGCGTCGCCGAGACTAGGACGCGCTGTATTTTTAGGCAAACACTGTTTACTAAGAACGGAGCCCCCGATGATAATTTATCGCCACGAAACGCTGCGCACAGTGACCTATGGCCCCGCGATAATCTACCCATTCCTTCGTCTCCTTCCTTCTGCGGTTACTCGCTTATTCAGCGTAGCGAAATGCTGTTCGCAGATACGTTTCGACTGGATCAGCGAGTTAGATCTCGTTTCATAATCTATGACACTTCTTTTAACCTTCGTGGAACAGTCGAATTTATTGTGCTCTTTTAAAAATGTACCATAGGTATCCAATACGGAGTTCATTAGTGACAATACATACAGGGTAAACGCACCAATTAATGAACACTTAAGGGATTTTTTAAATATTAAAGTCGAATTTTAAATGGTAATACTATTAATAAATATTTGCCACATGAATATTCGATTTTTTAATATTTGTACCTTTTTAGAATGTATAGATTTCAATTTGAAAAATTGGAATAGTGTAATTTATTAAATTTAAAGAGAAAAAATACGGATTGTACCAGTGAATGAACAATGCAAAAATTGTTTAAATATAAAAAAAAATAGTATTTAATGATTTACTTATTTTAGAACTTAATTTACTCGTTTTATATATAATGTTCACTCACTGGTACGTGTTTATTCACCGGTACACCCTATGTATTGAGTTGAACAAAAAGTAATCTCGTATTTCTGCAGTAGATGATGCTTTTTTTTGGTTTTCAGTATTAAACACTGCTCTTAACTAATAAAATATACATATTCTGAAAGCTGACGCGTGGTTTGAAAAAGAAGCCATCACGATTGCATTGAATTTACTTGAATTGACCTTGCTTTTGAAAATGAGAGAGAAAAAGTTGTACTTTCGAGCAATTATGCTAACTAAAGATTTAGAATTTCCATGACTCTGGAATTGCAGCTGTTTGTATGAACTTTCTTTTTTATTGTTTCTTTTCGTCCCCTGTTCATTGCTGAAGTATGTCGCGAAATACCCTGTACATCATCTTATTAATAGATGCACTCGAAATATCGCAGATGAAATTTCTGGTAGAATATCCTGTCAGTCACGAGGACAAACTTCTTACCGATCTTCGAGGTAAAGAATATTCTTTCATACTCTGTTACATTATTTGAATCACTCTGTATATAAAATTTCTGTCTTCTTAATATCTTCCAAATGTTTAAACTCTACGACAGTACGATCCATGGATCTTAAGGTATTAGGATCCTAGGATTTGGAATCTCAGAGCCTGAGGTGTTAAAATCTCAAGGCGTTAGGGCCTAGATTATCAGGTGATTAAAGTCGAAAATGTGAACACAATCTTTCCATGGTTAGCAGTATTACCTAGGGTCTGAAATGTTCGGTGATTAGGAGGCAAGATATCACAGTGTTAATCGGGTAGACAGAACGCCACAAAAGTCCGTGATATTAAACGATTAGTGTCTAAAATATAAGATGATTAATGTCTCATATTACATTCCACTATATGCAATTACACTGTAGGTCCCAGAAATGATATTTATTTACAATTCTTATCTAAGATTCTGAAAACGAAAACCTTAAACAAGAATCGTAAATAAAAAAAAAAAACTTGGCAGAAAGGTAAGGGTTGATGCTGCAAGTCAACCCCAATTAATATCTCAACGTAACCTCGAAGATCGTTCGATAATATTTCCTGTAATTTTTCCTATAAATTTATACGGCTCAATCGCATCCCGGGTTCATTCAGAAACGTTAGAAACGGTGGAGTCACGTTATTTGTCGCGATTAAAAGTTTCTATCATCGGGACAGGGGGTGGGGAGGGTGGAATCCGTGGAAGCGCTCAGGTATACGCTCTCTCGCGAAGGAACAATCGGTTCCAATGGGTGTGGTCGTTACTCTTCTCTAACGAGCACGTGAAATCCGGGCTCGCGGACCCGTGAAAACGCGAAAGACTGCACCGTGTCCATTCACGAAGAAGAATGAAACGCCCACGCGCGCCTTTCTATTCTCGGCCTGTGCGATTCACGACTCGCCTCACCTGACTCATCCACGAGTATCGGGGCAATTTTTTTCACGATATTTGTGGTACATGGTCGTTTGCGGAAAAATTCGATCTTACACATGCCGCGATTTTCGGGATACGTTAGAGGTTACTTGCCATGGAAATTTCTGATAGCGCCATCTACGAACCATTGCTCGTAGACTGGTCTTCTCTCCGCCAACGATTTGGATATCTTTGTAATTATGTGCCCTGTTTAATTTTTCGAAAGTGCGATAAAGAAATTGGTTGCTTTTTCAGCCTAGAAAATCGACAGATCCTATAATAATTAAAAGGTTACATCTGTCAGAATGCTAGTTTGGGTATAAGACACACGAAAGTAGGAAGAAATTAATGATACCTGTATGTAACGACCATTTCAGCGTATGACGATTTCCTAATGATCTGTATACAAACTTACTCGCTCCACCCACCTGTCGGATGATTACGCGCCTATTTTCGTGGATGAAGCTAACCGGACCACGCTCCCTCTCCAACGCATCGATGTGCAACGGGAGTTCGCGGCTTTGGCCATCCATTTCCGGTCCCGAGTTGCTGCCGGCCTTTAGACGAATTCTTTCACTTCGTTGAAAATCCTATCAGGCTCTAAATGATATGAAGATCTTATTGTTTTTATAAAATGGTTAAAATTAGAGTATACCAGAGAATAATATCACATTGTAGATTATGGTCGTAAAGAAGACAAACAACAATGAAATGGAGTTGTTCAGAAATCAGGATGATGATCAAAACGGTAACACTTCGGACGCGTGATCGTTTAGACCGGCGACAGAGGAGTCTGAGCCAAGTCGAGGACTGATGTACAGGAGGGCTTAATTTATTCTGTACATTTATAGCAGCGCAAATTATATCGATCGCGTTTAATGCCAAACACATCGCGGCCGTAGTTTAGGACTGCTACGAAAACAAACTCGAACCAGTCGACGGTCGTATTTCCGTGATCATTAAGGTAATAATTTATAACACTTATACATGAACAATTGGTTAAATTTAAATAATTCATTGTACTGGTTAAGTCGTAAAAGTTAAAACTCTATAATTATTTACGAAGTGAATATTAGAGCGATTGTGTTAGTAAAAGGGCAGAAAAAACAGTAACAGAGTGGAACATAAATTATCGAAACTGGAATATCAAACTCGTTGTAATAAGTGGTTTTTTCTTGGCATCGGGTCCAGAAAAACCAAAGTCGCGAGTATGTCGTAAACTAATTAGAAATAAGAAAATTTCAACGAGATATATATCTGAACAGCATCTATTTCTTCCCGTGTTTTCTTCAGTGAAATATCTACCGTACGAACAATGAACCATACATTAACATCTCTTTGCTCTTCAAATATTGTCAAAAATTTGCCCATCACACTATTGCAACAAATCGGGCGAACAAAATTTATTACATCGGAAACAACCGTTTTACTCGCTGTTCTTATCTGTCGCGTTTAACGATCCGTCCGGAACGACGCGACGAAGAATTGGGATTTCATCGGGCGGTAAATACGAACGGGGCGAAAAACGTCGACGTAACCGGTGAACCGGCGAAAATATTAAGCGTGGGGGTCGTACGGTTGCCAGCCCCCTCACGTGGTATTTTTACGATTCCAGGACAAAGTGCTGTTCGTCGTCGAAACGCTAGAGAGAAAGAGAGATAGATGGAAATAGAGAAATCCTATATCGAACTGGAGATTTGGAGATGACAAGCGCGTCGAGTTTCCATGACAATGGAATGTAACTTTTCGTTCGTTTACGGCTTAATGAATGCAACGTGTTCGCGTTTCGACACTGAAAATACCACGTGGTCGGCACATTTTTTGAACTTTCGAACCAGAACCCGTTCTACCGCGTCCTTTTTTCTTTTTCCTTATTTTTTTGCTTTTCGCAAATAGCGGACGAGGTCATCTCTCGAGGCCTCGTGACCCAGCCATCGCGTAATTAAGACGGGCGTATCGAACAACCGAAGATCGTGATCGTGACGCGTCCTGTAAAAATTCCTCTGGTTCTATCTGTCGGAATTTCTTTTCGTCGTTTCTCCCCTCGATGAACTTTGCGAAACAACGTTCCGATTAACGAGTTTAACGAAACGGTTCCCTGTCACGGGTAACTTAAAATGATTTCTTGACTGAGCTCGACGTGTCGGTCTATTCTCAATCGAAAGTTTGCCAACGTTAACTTTCTGAGAGTGTAGGTCGAACGAATTCTGATTATAACTTGAATTGGATTCCATTTAAATCCGTTACAATTTTCCGTTATCCAAATCCGTTAAGTTGGAATATAAACTTTGTAAACGTTACAGAGAAGTTTCCTTAAAAATAGTTTCAGAAGAATGGCTTCGTCGTTCTGGAGGATTTCTTCCAACCGGAAGAGATCGACGAGCTTAAATTCTGCGGGGAGGAGTTCACGAAAAACTTGCTGCCAGAAAGTGAACGAAGTATTTTTAATTCGACGACATCGGTGCAGGTTAGAATCGATTACGATCAAACTATCTCACAGCTGATCCCGTTTATATGAATGTAAATGTCAAATCTGCGGTCGTTTCAGAGTAAAAACAGTTATTTCCTGGAGAGCGCAAATAAAATCAGCGTATTCTTTGAGTCTGAGGCGTTGGACAATGACGGGAAGTTGAAGGTGCACCCGCGAGTGTCTTTGAACAAGGTAACGTAACCTATCTGCAAATGTCAGTTCCACGGTGCTCGACCGTTAAAAGTAATTTTAAAAATCTCACAAAGGTTGGCCACGCGCTGCACTGGCTTCATCCTACGTTCAAAAAGTACACGTTCGATGAAAGGGTAAAAGAGACGGCATTTCAGCTGGATTACCAGGAGCCAGCTGTATGTCAATCGATGTACATTTACAAAAATCCGGGTATCGGATCGGAAGGTAAAATTACAAACAATACTGGTCGAACAATCGAACACAATTATTCACTTTATTCATTCGCTTGTCGAAATTTTATCTGTATTACATTGACTGTCATCAGTAATCATGCATCAGGACGCGACGTACTTGTACACTGAGCCGGTAAAAGTAGTTGGTTTCTGGATCGCCCTGGAGGATGCTACTCAGGAGAACGGGTGTTTGTGGTTCGCGCCAGGTTCTCATCAAAGCGGTGTACACAGACGTTACGTTAGAAACAAGGACCCGGACACGAAAGAGTTGTTAGTTTACGACAGCGCGGCGCCGTGTTATCAGCTCAGCAATTTTCGGCCGGTCCCGGTCAGCAAAGGAACCTGCATCCTCATACACGGGCAGGTAGTACATTTCTCGAATTCAAACAGGAGCGACAAATCACGACACGCGTACACGTTCCACGTAATCGAAACGCAGCATACGTCCTACCCAAAGGACAATTGGTTGCAACCACCACCGGGAGGATTTCCTAAATTGTACAGGAATTAAGTATGTTTTAAATCACGCTCGAGTAAGCCAGAAAAAACACTTGAGAGTTTGAAAGATTATCGGAAATTACGATTACAGGTGCCGCCGCCGCCTTGCGATTCTAGCCGTGGCCATTTTTATTTTTCACATTCTACGAGTACAAAAGTTACGTCTTGTAATATATAGAACTGTTAATAAAAAATTATTAAATACTTGTACCCTTTTCGTTGCTTTTTGTATGTACATTGTTAATCATGTGTTATCACAGCTAGTAAATTACACTGTACATACATACGCGATGTTAGTGTTATTTAACAGAAAGACTATAGATACAATTGGTAACGTATGATCAGCTTCAATGGAACTCCCATCGTTTTTATACACACAGTTTTTATGTACATCTACAGCTTGCTAGTCTACAGAAATGCGTACTAAGTTCCTGTAACTGACGTAAACCTGTTTTCAATACGTCTTCTTTCTGTTTCACGCAACAGTGCACGTCTAGGGGCGTCAAGTCGTCGTCTGGTATCTTCATTGTCGTCATCGTCTCAGGCAGGAACGTTACCAGTGCTTGATACAGACTGTTTAACGTTCGATAGTCGATACTAGAATCTTTAGCTTGCTCTAGAACGCTGCAATAGAACATTGTCATGGTAACACATAGTAATTGAATATTTTTAATATTCTCAATTTCAGTTACTTACGCGCCCAAACTTTGCAATAATCTATTCACATTTGCTGCAAGTTCTGGTTGTATTTGTTTTACGTAATCCGAAGATGGAAGTGGATTTGGAATACTGTAATGAAAACTGCACGGCATCTTTACTGCATCAGCTGCCAAACCACTGAAAAATACGCAGAAAATATACATAAACGAAACTGTATTAACCAAGGTTTGACCATCGAAAGTCAGTGAGTAATTTATAGCGGATCCAGCCATTCTGCGTATCTCCACGGGATTCATCATTTCCCTCTTGAGTTTGTGCCTAGCGACACAATTGCGTTCATCTCTAGACGAAAGGTCGCGCTCTTTGATCTTCGCTCACATTGGTATGGAAACTATCTCTTAATCAGTTTTGTCTTGTTACTGATTGAAAAAGAGTAATATTTTCATGTTACAAAGAAACACACGAATAAACCATCGCAAAATACGTCTACGTAAATTGTGTTTGAAATGTTCATTTAATTTCCAACACGGCAATAGAACAATGACAAAAAGTATTCATTCATGTTCATAGAAAATGTGATAATAAGTGATTACGAAAACATATCACATTTCACTATTGATGGAACGTACTGTGATTGTGAGTAGCGAGCGTCATCTTTGACGATTGTAATTAGAAGGGGACTGCCGCTGGCAAGCGCGACGTGGCGAGCAACTGAACAGGCGACAATCTAAGGAAGACGGAAAATCCACTCACTCTCTTTCAATGACCCAACCTTACTTTCTTTGTACAAATTCCTCTTAATATATAACTGCAGTATGTAATTGTTTCAAAACTTGCCACATATCACGAGCAAAAATGTATGCTGTTTCGAAATACTGGAAAGCTTTCTGCGCTCTACGCTCTCGCTCCGCAACATCATTCTCAACTCCGATCGCGTCATGTAATTTTTTATTGTTTAGTTGAGTTTCAAAGTTACGGCATGTTTGTTTCAATTCCTGAACAAAAAATAACACTGTAAATACCATTAGGAATTAGCTAAATGCGACTGCAGTTAAATGTTTTTTTGTTAGATTAATTACATCGATCTTCTGGGAGACACGTAGCATCAAATCCGGATGTTTACTTATGTTAATCAATTGAATCAAATCGCTGCACTTATTCAAGATGCAACTGACTTCTTTTAATGTTCTCTCACCTATAAAAATATTTATACATTAGACAAATCTTTTATTCTAAACGATATTATTTTGTTACTATTGCACCAACAAAGTTAACGAAATTACCACACGTGGTTTTAAATATTTGTAGCAATTCCTTTAAAATAGTTTCTGCTTTCCTTGAGAACGACTCGCTGACAGCAGCTATCCAATGTTTTATAGCACACTGTAAAACAGTTACAGTCGTCCATGGTGGTCTAATGATAACGTGTTTCTCCCAAGATTGTCCATACAATTCATGCATTTCTTTGCTGACTATCTGTAACAGAATTTTCTGTAAATGACAGAGTATTTTTCTTTTCACATCACAAATTACATCTTATTGATATACTTGATATACTTGCCACTGTCAAAAAATCTCTCATAATGCTCTTTGTATCATCAAAAACTTCATTTGATATATGGTATTCTTGACTTAAAATCGAACCAGTGTCTAAACTCAACATCATTCCTTCCAAGCGTCGCAATATCGTAAATCATTGCTTTATTGCGGAGATTAGTGTCATATGATATTAATACCTACATTAAAAAGTATTAAAATTGAAATTATAGTAAACTGAAATTTCATACAAACAGAAAACTTACCACAGACTTTTCCAATTCACGAATTTGCAAACAGGTCTGAAGAATCTCATCATCTGGACAATCAATAGAGAATTTTTCTTTATTCCTTAAGGCGTCCTCTCGCGTCTGGCCGATAACACGTGGATGTTTAGCAGAAAACAATTTATTAATATAATTGATAGCTTTCCTCGCATTCGCACACAACGATGCTGGTTTCGTTTTGCTGTTGTCATCTTTAATATAATCAAGTTCCTGTTAAGAAAACAATCATTTTTATAGATTCTTATGGAATACATGTTACCTGTCATTAATGTATTACTTACACGTATAACAGTCCATGGTATTACAAGTAATATCCGATCAAATGTTTTGAAGGTAGTTTCTTTTGCTAGTTCAATAGCATCAATATTTGACAAAAACACATTTGTGTCAACAACAATGTACAACTGCCTTTTCTCTGGTTGTTCTGATAGTGGTGGACAACTTAAACTGTTACTTGGAGCACTGCATGATACATGTGTATTGTGTTCTGTGCAAAGTTGTGTTCTAACAGCCTGGACCTATGTAATGTAAAAGTACAAGATGAGTTATTACTTACATGTGTTTACAATGAATATTTTAATAAACATTTCATTATGTTTGTTAAAGAATATGACATTACTTCGAATGTAATTTTTTCATCTTCTAATGGTTCCCAATCCATCTCTTCATAAAAAGAATCTTCATTGGATCGTTTCACTAACTCATTGACTGTTGTTACAGATTCCCTAGACAATTTTTCTGGTTTCTTATTTATAGAAGCTTTAGTAACTTCAATCTTGTTAGTTGACAGTCTGCTCCTCAAACGTACCAATCTAACTTCTGCATTTTTATAAATACTCGGTAATTTCCCTACTAGGATTGTAATGTTAAAAATATGATACTACTTCATATAGCGATAAACACACAATAGAAAAGTATTACCTTGTTTATCAACTGAACTAGGGCTCTCTGGTGGTGTATTGGCAGTACTATCAGAACTCTCAACAGTACTGTTTTGAAGAGTTAAGCTTTTCCTTAATTCCTCCATACGTTCTTTTCCAATATTTTTCTTGAAAGACTTTCGACCTCGCTTTGTGGATGTACCTTCAATCAAACTCTGATCACTTATTTTTCTTCGTGTTCCAGTTTTCTCTGTAATTTGAAAAAAAAATATGAACATAATATTTTTGCTTCGCAAGTAGCATCCAATACCAATATCATAAAAAATGCATAATTTTGTTATTTATCTTTCTTCCCTAGAAAATATTTATACAATTTTTTAATGATTGTATATACCTTTGTTTCTTGATCTTTGTGATTTGACTGTTTCTTGTTGATTCTTATTATTATTGTTCTTAATTTCTTGATTCTTTTTCACTCTAGGCACACTTTTTGCTTTTTCTTGTATTTTTTGAAGAATTACTTGCATTTGCGGCGTATAAGTTGTTTTCACACCTTCATCACTTTCAGACTTAGATGGTGATGGAGTCATAGTTTTATTTTTCAAAGGTAATGATTTCATAGAATCTTTCAATGATTTGTGACTTTGTGCTTTAGATGTGCTTTCCTTCTCTTTCTTTTTAAGCATCTTCTCACGAATAGCTTGCATCTGAGGAGTTTCTCTTTCTTCGGTGTTTTTCTCCATCGAATGTCTAAGAGATCTTTTAGCAACAAGTTTCTTTCGCTTACTAATTTCATTGTATTCTGATATATTGCTTTCAGGTGTAGAAGGCTCATGTTTTTTACGCTTCTTACGAAGTCCACCTGATTCCTTGGCGACCTAGATAACGGATATCCGAAAAATTAATTTTGTAGAGGTTATAACACGTAGAAGAATCATAAATAACAAATGTTTACGATACAATGGTAATAATTAGAAAATTCTGAAATACCTTTTCGGGCTGATTTGCCGTCGGTACCTCCCAAGACGACTCGTTTGTTTTAACATTGAAATAATATACTCTATGCGGATATGTCTTCGAATTTACGACAATCCAATTCTCCGGCAATTTCTGTTTCATCATTTTTCAAGCTGTTAAGGAATACTGCACCTATGTTGCCAGAATACTCATTAAAAGAATTATATTCGATGTCACCATAAATCGATTTAAATTCGCAAAATATAAGCTGCTTACCACGCGTCATCACAATTCATATGTCACATTCACAAAAATAAACAGTGTTATCTCAAACAAAACATTCTCTCCGCCATGCGTTCCAAAACGATTAACTTCGGCATGGCATCATAGAAACTGCCACAATAATTTTATTTCATTTTTCATTAATCTGAACTTTGTTTATTCATCATAGTTTACAAAAAACGTTTATGCAGACGAAATAGAGAAAATACATACATGTAATAATCATAATTTAATATTCTGTTGTGTCAAGTACACCCCGAGCAAACTCGGCTTCCATTGGGGAAAAAAGTAGCGTAAGGGAAAGACCTCCTACCACTTAGTAAATTTTTTTCAAGTACTGAAATAAATGTTAAATCGAATGTTATCTTAAATATAACTGCATAAATATTGCACAATCCTATATGACCCCACGATCTCACCACACGGGGTCTCTGGCCCTCCTGCAGGGGTTCTGTGACCCCACGTTCCAACATAGGGATCTCTGGCGCCTCCACCGGGGGTTCTGTGACCCCACTTCCTAACAATACGGGGTCTTTTACGCATGCTCCTGGGGTGCTATGACCTCACTTTTTCACATCACGGGGTCTCTTACCACATCGAACGCACAGTTTCATCTATATAGAAACATGTGACAATTTCAGAAAGAATTGTTATTTCTTAAAGAATTGCATACAAATAATCAAATTACAAAACGGTTGGGAACGAACGTGACGAATCACGAGTGATTCACAAGTAGCAGTTCACGCCATCTCTACACATGCGTGTCATAAAGTGAAATTTATAGGGAATTTAGATGTTACTATTTTATGACTTGCTACAGAAATACTGACCGATGGGTTTTTTCCCTTTTCTATGAAACGTTTCGCCGAATACAATTCTTTCAACACTTTTGACCCTTTCAACTGTTTTCAACCACTTTCAACTGTCTTCGGATCGTGACAACACACATCTGCACTGAATTTTCGCGTATAAAGCTGTCGGAGGTCGAAGCAAACTTATTCAGGATTTAGTTTTCTAACCGCCAACCGACACTTGTGTAATAGCTGCATACGATATTTAGCGTTATAGATATACTGTCACACAAATGATGGAAAGTGAAGTTGAAAGTTCCGTATTACGAATTGTAAAGAATGATGCCGAAGACGACGATTTACAGTATTTTTCTTCTATTGACGCCGCTACGAAAGAATGGATTAATTCACTTAATCACATATGGCAATTGTGTAAGTATGATACACAATATTCATCGTGACAGCATCCAGGATTTTTTTAACTATTCAGAATAAGTTGACAGGAAAAATTTATATATAGTATTAATTTTTTAAATAAATTAGTAGGTAATTTTTTGCGGCTAAAGATTAGGTAGTGCTGTGTGTCACCTTTTTCTTTCAAACTAAGTAGTTCAAAAATTGTAGATACTGTTGCATGGAATATTTTATATGTTAAACGATACTAGTGTTATAATTACATATTTTTTGCTTTCTACCTTCTGTACTTATTTTTCTTACAGGGAAAGAATGTGATAGTTTAAGGAAAACACTAACAGATTATTTTGAAAGTGCACCAAATCCATATTTGAGTACATTACGAATTATGGTAAATACCCCAGGCTTTATGCATATGAAACAAGACTCATCGTTAACATTAACGAGTACGTGTTTTATGAAAATATTTATATGAATTTGCATTGGAGAATGTAAATGTTGTTATTTATTGCAGTTGTTGTTAGGTTTGTGAAATATAAGAAGAATTTTATTATGAAACTAATTAATATAATAATTTGTTATTATGTTACAGTTATTGAAGAATTTTCAAGGTGGTTAAAACCACAAAGTGACAAAGTCAAGCACTTTTTAGTCACAGATTTGAAAATAGCTGCATTCAGATTGATTGTTAGGCAACGTAATATGACTTTCATTAAAACGGTTGCTAATACATATGGGTTTCTAGAAGACAAAGAAGTATTTATTCATTTGATTGAGGTATAGCCATGAAGTACATGATTTAATAAATTGTATCTAAATAGTTGTGTGATATTTATTTATGTTCTCTCAGAATATGATTCAGGAAAATATGTACAAAGAAGCAGCACAGTTTGCAGTTATGCTTCAATTACAAAAGCACTTCCAAAAACTGGAGGTTTTGTTGATACCACTTATTTTACAAAATAAGCTATCAATTGTTGAGCAATTTTTAGCTGATGAACCAGAAATTCAAAAATCTTTAATCCAGTATTTGGATAATTTAGTTGCATCAGATAATAATATGCACGAAGAACTATATAAAATCATTGAGTAAGTTTCTCTTATTCAATAAGAATAACTAAGTTGAATAATATTTTGAATTTATTACAGAGCATCGAATATACCAGATATAAAAATTTCTACCATAGATGTAAAACCGATGAGTAAACTTATAGCACGTTTTGTTAAATTGTACAATCTGCCACCTAACATTTGTGGCAATGTAAACAAAAAACGAAATGAAGGTGCTCTGCATTTTCTTGTGCATAAACGTTATATGGATTGTACTTTAAGTACGTATATTTCTTATGGAATAAAATAGTGTTTAAAGAGTGTAAATGAAACATTAATTATTATTTTATAATTAAGGTCTTGAAAGCTGGAGAGAAATGGTACAAGAAGCGGTTGGAAATGATCGAAACTTACAACTCAACTTGATAAGATTGTTAATTAATGTCAGAGATGCTACAGAAGGATTATATTGGTGTAGAGAATTCAACATACCTAAAGAACAGTGGCCATGGGCAATTTCGTACGAAGCTGAAGGTAATAATGTACATTCATACTTCAATGTGTCTTTTCCAATTGTGTCATGCTCATAAAATTTATCTATGTAGGAATAAACGATGGAGCTTCCACTAGTAAAGAAGAAATTAGTTTGAAAAAAAATTATCATGAATTGAACATGTCAAGAAACTGTATTAAATTAGTGGATACTCCACATAAATTTGAACAATTTCTTGATAATGGATTAAAGAATGTCCACATTGTTGCCATCGATTGCGAATGGAAACCTAGTTTTGGTGGTATTCTTAATTAACATGTAATTTTACAATTTAAGCATTTCATAACAAAAACAATAAATTCAAATTTTTTATTAATTGTTAGGTATAAAACAGACTGATATAGCTTTGATACAAATAGCCACCGCAAATTATGTTTACATCTTAGATGTAACTACCATGGCAAATAATGTGAAGGGATTGTGGTCTGAGCTAGCCTTAACCCTCTTTGACAACACTGACATATTAAAGCTCGGTAAATGTCGCTTAATTAATAATGTTTGAATATTGAATTGAAAGAGAAAATTAAGTTAATTTTAAATTTCATTATAAAATTATGTGATACAGGATTCGGTATAGCTCACGATGTAACGGTGATACGTGACAGCATACCAATTTTATCCAACATAAAAACACAGGGACAAGGATATATAGATATAGTTAACTTGTGGAAAAAGTTAGTGGACGAGTATAATTTTGTATTTCCACACGAGGATGAAAATCCACTTGTTAAAAAAAATTTGAGCAAACTCGTGGAGCTTTGCTTTGGTCGAGAATTAGATAAGTCGGACCAGTTTTCCAATTGGGAGCAACGGCCCTTAAGAGAGAGCCAAATCATATATGCTGGTTAATATTTCATGTTTTTTCTTTTAAATAAATCTTCAATGTGCAATAAAAACAAGCATAATAATAACTTAATTATGTTACTACAGCGCTAGATGCATATTGTTTATTGGAAATATATGAGGTTTTGAAAACTCAATGTGAACAAATTGGTATACCATTTTTCAACATTTGTATGGAACTACAGCACATTAGAAACTGGACACCAAAAAACAGTAGAAATAAACCGACAAACAAGGCAAGTTTTAATACAATAAACGATTCCGACTCAAGTTTACTTATTAATTATTTACTCAGTATTTAAAGCAGTGATATCTAAAACTGGGTACATTAACGAAACGCATACCTAATTTCAATACACTACTGATAAGTTTTCTTAATACTTAATTTAAATATATAATTTATTTCTTCCTTAAATAGGCAATAAAGATTACCTAACATTAATAATTTTAATAGTAATTATGTACTCTTAATACGAATCACAGTATGTGTTCATTGTATTCATTGTATTACAGCCTAGTGTACCTGTAATGGGATTGTCAAACTCTAATAGGAAAAAAAATTCTGAGACTTTTAACTCAAGTCATGTCAAAAAAATGCAAACAAATCAACCAGGAGAAATTAATCTGAATACAACACCAATCTGCGGGTGGCGTGCAGCATGTGACCCGAAGTTAATTGGTTTATTGCGTAAATTACGATCGTGTGGTTGCGACTGTGTTTGTGTATCGATCGAAGATAGTGTCAAAGTAGCAAACAATGAAAATAGAGTATTTTTGACACAAAATAAAGACTATCTAAGGGTGAGATTTATGCATATGTTCTCTAGTAACCTAATGGATTTGATATTCAATTGTATATAAAGATAATTAATCACTTAACTTTGTTACACAGTTTTCACGATGTTTACCACCTGAACGCTGCTTTTTCGTATTAGGTGATACGTCTGATATACAATTACAAAACGTACTGAATCATTTCCGTGTTTCCGTTACACCAATGGACATTTTTACCCGGTGCAAATTTTGCAATTGCAATGAATTCGCTAGAGTTCCCAAGATAATAATGGTTGGACTTATGACCAGGTTTGTTATACAATTTTTATTTAATTTTAATCGCCATAATGATTGTTAATGAATTTTTATAATTAGACGCTTCAGGACGGTAAATAATATTCAATATCAGTCGAATAGTAGGAATGATTTGTATGCAACAAATTACCGTACTTTCAATCATGAATATAATGCACAGCGAAAATGGACTTTAAACACCAATTCCATAGATATAATGACTTGCAAAACCAAATATGGTGCTGAAATTCAAATTGACGATGTATCGGATCACATCCTGAAAATTGAGCAATGTTTTTATATATGCGAAAAATGTGGGAAAGTGTACTGGCTGGGTAAAAATTTTAAGCGTTGCATGGATTTCTGGAATGTAGAAATCAAAAACAATCATCTTCATTGACATGAATCAGTGACAACTGTTCCTGCTTCTAAGTTACTGTTTTTTTATTTTAATAACTTTTCTAGTGATTATAAGTAGATATGTAGAACTGAAAAAGAAATGTTTTATTTTTCTGTTGTAGCTATAGTTATTACTAGTATTATTTTTTACATTATTTTTAAAGAATTGTTAGCTCATTGTTGAGCCGAATTGCATTCTCACACAAAGAACTGAAAGTTGTGTACTGTACAAAAGTGCTTTTAGTGTGTTATGTAAAGAATGATACAGTACAAACAAGAAAGAATGTTCCTTTTATTTGTTCATTTAATAATTCATCTCTTTACGTATATGTTTGCAATCTCGTAAACACATGTTCAAGTTACAATACAGTTTGTCTTTCACACAATATAGAATAATGCATAAATATATGCAGCGTGTATAAAAACATATTTCTACTTTCTTTCTATAAAGAGCTCTAAGTAGCAAGAAAAAATTCCTCTTTGTTGTATCACAGTGGAATAATAGTTTTTGTTGTTATTGAACCTTCGAATAAAATTGGAAACCTTTCGTTTTATTACGTCATGGTAAAAAATAATCATTGAATACTGTTTCAGAAATTATTATGACGGGAAAAAATAATACAATGAAACCTACGTTAAAACCATTTCCTCTTTTATTGATTCATATGGTACAAATATCTGTTTAAATACGTTACACTGTCGTCGGTTCAGGCGTGTTTGGGTCAACGTCTGCGATAAATTCGGCTGGCTCCACAAGTCGTTTTTTCCCGTATGGTGGAGGCCCAAGTAATTTTTCCACATCATCGTATGTCAAAGTTTCTTTTTTCAGAAGCTCTTCCGCTAGCTATGGATGTTTAGAAGAAGAAATTAACAGAGATACTTAATAGATATGTTACATGTATTATTTTCTCAAAAAGCTTTAAAACTATAATGTACCATTACAACTTTCTCACAAATCAAACAAGAAAGAACCTAATAATATAAAATAATAATATAAAATTCGTAAGTATATAGCTACTTTTTATTACTGTACTAATTTAACTACCACTAACACGTTCCGTACCCAACCTTTTCATCTGATTTTCCGTTCACGCCGTATGAGCCATAAATGATTCACAGCAAAACAAAACATTTATACTATACAATAAGGCGAATACTTTTATTGAATAAACAGAATTAATCAATACGCTGGCATTTTGTGTTAATAGTGAAGAATTGTCAATAGCCAGAACGGAAAATTTGTTGTAAAAAGTTTACATAACAGATAACAAAACGCCATGGTCGTACGTACCAATTGTAACTTATCTTTGTTATCCATTAGTAATTTCTCTGTTGCTTTGTATGCTTTTGTAGTTATTCTTCGTACTTCAGCGTCCATTAAATTTGCCATTTTCTTACTGTATATCTTTTTAGTTTTCTGTAAGAAAATAACAAGCTATTGGATATATTAATATTAACGTACGATATCTCTAAATAAATCGTGTTACTGCTAGACCTGGCAATCACAAAAAAATTGTAATATATGATCTGATCACTTATGCTATCGTTAAATCGTATACAGACGAAAATACTAGAAAACAAAAATGAAATTTACCAATTGCTTCTATTATGATATCTTTTGTATATATGAGAATAAATAATAATTTCTCATTTTCTATGATTCAACACTTGCTTACTCAATATTTAAAAAATTAAGGATACACATCAAACCTCTGTATGTAACCAACAAAGATCGCGGAAGTTCTGTTTTTTAATTTTCAGATGATCACCAGGCCTTGTAATAAGACACACAGAGATACGGCAAATGCGTTCTAATATTACCGTGCTTGTTGCTTCCTCATCAAACGAAATTAAACCTACAGATGGACTCATACCGAATTGTTGGACTTGAGCGTAGGTTATTTTCGTTACTTTTTTCAAATCATTTTCTGCTCCGGTTGAAATTTTATTAAATGTCAGGCTTTCCGCGACTCTGCCGCCCAACATCATACATATCTTTTCAAAAAGTTGTTCTTTAGTGTGAAGCTTCTGATCTGAGGGGGTATACTGTGCAAAACCCAAACTCAAATTTGTTCTTGGTACTATCGTGACTTTTAGCAGAGCATCGGTGTGTTCCAATAACCAACCTACTAAAGCGTGTCCAGCCTCGTGATACGCAACTACCTTTTTCGTAGTAGGTGTTAGCGTGTTAGATTTTTTACTCGTACCACCTATCGTTCTATCGATTGCATACAAAAGATCATCGCCACTGATTGAAGTTTTCTTATCCCTTGCTGCATGTAACGCAGACTCATTACAAACATTTGCAATATCTGCGCCTAAAGCAATATTATTTAATAAGCGAGAATGAAAAGAATAAAGAAAGAATGACATAGAAATCTAATAATAACAATCTCATACAATACCACTGAAACCAGGAGTAAGGTATGATAAGTATCCAGAATATTGTTGTGGTTTGCCTTCTAGAGACAATGATTTCAAGTGATACTCAAATATTTGTTTTCTTTCCTCCATGGTAGGAAGATCAATTAAAATGTGCCTGTCAAATCTACCGGGTCTCAGTAAGGCTTTATCTAAAACATCTGCTCTATTCGTTGATGCTAATATAATAACATCTTCTGCGGTTGTCATTCCATCCATTTCCACTAAGAGTTGATTTAACGTTCCTTCGGATTCATTATTACTAAATTCAACACCTTGCGATCGTTTTTTACCTACTGCATCTATTTCATCTATGTATATAATACTGGGAGCTCTGTCGAAGTAGATAATATAACAATTCATTCAAAAATATCTTTATGTTTTTATATGCAAAATAAAAAACGTAGTAAAACCTCTTTCTTGCCGCTGCAAATAAATCTCTTACGCGTGCAGCGCCCAAACCTCCCAACATTTCAATAAATTCAGATCCATTCATTGATAAAAATGGAACATTTGATTCTGTTGCTACAGCTTTAGCTAAAAGAGTTTTGCCGCATCCTGGTGGCCCTAAGAGTAGAGCTCCTGAAAGGAACTTGAATTAATGAAAGTTGGCACGATTATATAAAAGAATATTAACATTTCTTTGTACCTTTAGGTACCTTAGCTCCAAGTTTCTTATACCGTTCAGGATGCTTGAGATAATCAACAAATTCCATAACTTCTGTCTTAGCTTCCTTTAATCCAGCTACATCTTCAAAACGCACACCCTTACCAGAAAATGGCTCCACTAACGTATATTTCGCTCTTGTTTTCTGCTGGATAAATTCCATTACATTTCGAACTTTTTGAGTACGAAATATATGTACCAGAAAATAGGCTACTGCTCCAAAAAAGAGCAGATTTATAATAGAGCTCTGAGTTTCCTGTCGAACGTATCTAATTGGTATTCCATTTTCTAAACAGTTACAATATAGTTTCAGTATACAATTAAACAAATATACATATATTCATGTTAACACTTTGCCGGCCGCTTATTTCTCGCATCGCCTTTATGCTGCCGCCGGCGATACGTTGACGCGTACGTGACCCCGGCCGATAAACGTTGGCGAGCAAAAGTCACGCCAGCGTGACAGCGGCCGGCAGAGTGTTAACTGCCTTTGCTCTGTTATACCTGCTGAAATACCAATTCTCTTTTCCAATTCTCTGATTTTGTCTTCAATAGTATCAGCAAGCCTAGGATCTATCATATTAATATAATCAGTGTTTAGCCTATGTCCTTTATAAATAGCACCAGGATGAAGTATTATAGTTACTAAGACACCGGAAACTTGAATTTCTTTCACTTCTCCTTTTAAAAGTAGGTCATTTACAACATCATTCCAATCCAATTTCTGCTAATTTGTATTAATAAATATTAGTTATATGAGTTTACCACATATTAAATTAATATTACAGTCTATTCCCAAATTGTTCAATGAACCTAAGGTAACACTGTTCACGCTGAAGAAAAAATATCTAAGTAGGGTTCCCAAGTTCTTTCTTTTTGTGTTCTACACATATGAAGCTACAAGTTAAAAGTAGGGAAAAGTTCAAATTTCATTTTTCGACTTTAAATAACTCACTAGGGAACATACCAAACCTTCACATGCCGATTTGAATGAATCTTGGGAGATAGTTCTCTAGAAAATATTTGAAACATATTTTTTTTACAGGCCATTATCCATGTAAGGTAGTGATAACAGCTCTCAAAGTTGAGGGATCAGAATATATAGTTTTTGGAACATCCTGGAAACTAAAGGGAGTTTTAAAACCTTTTTCTTATTCCCATTAACTTCCGAGACATTCCAAAACATATATTTTCATCTCTCAACTTTGAAGGCTATTATCATCTCCTTAAAATGGACAATGGCTGATAAAGAAAATATGTGTCAAATATTTTTTGGAGAACTATCTCCCATTTAACTTTTATTAAAATTGGCGTATCCGGATTCATTGTGTTCCCTTGTCATGTACAAGTATTTGAGTCCCAACCAGTTAAGGTTATTTCTGTAGCAGTTCTTCATGGTAAAACTTTTGCATTTGCCTTGGCACTTGCAATACTGAATTGTAGGGTATCTGAAAATTACTATAATTTAATTGACTGCTTTCCAACTCCGTCCTTAAGAGGATTTACTCGGAGTACTTTGACTGGACGAAACTGATAAACTTAATTGCAATAAAATTGGCTGAACAATTTGGGAGAATCATGTATAATTATGCATTTACAATGACTAACCTTCCAAGATTGAGGTTTAACCGAATACATAAATCCTAAGATTAAGATAACTAAGCTAAGAAATAATAATTTGCTTGTCACTGCATTCAAATTGGGATCTTTCTCAGGTTTCTGATCCGGTTCATTGGAAGATTTCTTGGTGTCATTTGACTTGTCTCTATTCGACAATCTTGAAGTTGTGCTAAAATTCCTTGTACAGGCCAGCCTTGGACAGTAATAAAGTCTACAAGGGCCATTTTGCAAAAGTAATGACTGTATTAAATTGAATTCTTTCTGCGCTTCTCTGCTAAGCTAAAAGGAAATTCTCTTTATGGTTATGCCGCGCAATCAACATGTAATTGAAACAGCAAAATGATTGAACTTACCCGATTAGGTACCGGAAAACATAACCTTTTCACCTCATTACCAATATTTGTGGACATAATATTACTGATTCCATGCTGTTTTGAGTTACACTTAAACAACCAATTAACGAGTCTTTGTGAAACGACATAGTGCCGCATCGGGTGGATTATTAAATTTTGCATGCCTTAATCACATAAATTAAAATTGTAAGCATACATCATTTAACATCTTAATAGTAACCACAGAAAATCCTTCCTAACGGTGTCAAATGGGTTTAACGTTTAACTACTAAAGATACTCATTTATTGGCAGAATTCCATGCGTTCAATGCAATCAGATGTAATACACAGTGACCAATCACAATTTATTTTTACTCGTTTCTACGTTCTTAGATAGATATTGGTGAAATTGGAAGGGACAACTAGTGACAACGTTTTTTAAAGCCACAGTCGAGATACAGGATAGCCATTCATCTTATGGGCTTTCGTTTTAAACCTCGTTTGTGACGAAATGTACATAAATAAAAACAGGCTTTACAATTTATTTATCTGGTATATATTGTAGTTAATTTTTAATTCGAAGTAAACATTAATAGCCCCGGATAGCACCAGACGCCCAATAATATCTTGAAGACGTCTTAAAGACGCCTTAGACCTACAATAGCTGTAAAATGGACGTCTTCAAGACGTCATGTGCTATTTGGGGTAGATACTTGCAAATTATGTTAATATTTTGTCTAAAAATGTAATAGTTTCAATTTTTATATTTAATTTGTGTGCAGTGAAGCATAAATAATGTAGTATGTGTGTAATGTAGTAATGTAGTATGTATATTGTGATTACCGTCAGTCCGAATTTTTAGTTGTACCACCGACTAGGTATAAAATAGACCTATCATCCAATGCTTTTTTCTGTCCCACGTTCATAGGGCTACGTAGCCCTGTTACCATAGTCCGAATTTGACAGTTGTACCACCGACTAGGTATAAAATAGATCTATCATCCAATGCTTTTTTCTGTCCCACGTTCATAGGGCTACGTAGCCCTGTTACCATTTTAGTGTCAATGTCCGACGTTACCGATAAAGCATGAATTCTGAGTATTATTAGCACAAATGAAGTGTTATATATTCCATTCAGATTACGTGTATCTATATGATTTCCCGAGAATAAAAATATCCGATGCTTCAGTTTAAGGTTAAGGGATAAATATGACAGTCATGAAACATGAAACGGAAAAGTATATATTTTTTCACTTAACTACAAGACAATTTATTCTAAATGCATCGTTACTGGACATTTTTATTAATGTTACTTTTTACATGTTCTTGTTTTATTCGTTTTTATATCTTGCCTTACATTTGTATATTTGTAACAGATAAATTCAGAATAGATGTAGTTTCATAAATAGTTTATCAAATCTACATGTGGGAGAATATATACACCGCTTTCATTAACATCTACATATTTATAATTTATATGGGAGTGTGAATAGTTTTACTGCCTATTGTAAGAATTTTAATACGCACGAACAATTACTTTCTGGCAATTGGTAAATTTTTACATATGAATTTACTTACACTTTAAGTGAAATACAGAAGTTTCAATTTTCTTGAAAATTAGTGTCAAAGAATGCAACAACTGGTCAGATTAGTTTCGTAAATAAATCGAAACCCTGTATCGGCACAATGTTTTTTATGCTATCAAATATCACACGGAATCTTTTAGGAAGTAGTAAAATCTTTTACACAAATTCAATGAAATACTTTCAGGTACCCAGTTTAGGGCTATGAAATTAGAATGTTCAAGAAGAGGTAAAAAACTTTCATATTTGCAATTATTTTGTGAAATGAATAATAAATAAAGGTCTTAGGGATTTATACTGGAGAGCTAAATCTTTAAAAGGAACATGTCGCTTAAACAAATTAGTTAAATATGATATTTATTTGGGGAATATGAACATCATAAATAAACGAGAGCGGTAGAGCGAGTTGCGGTATCGGTGCTCTCCGTCGGTGTCGACGCGTACCGAACGATGCCGAAGATGGTCGGAGCAAGCGAACGGGAGAGAGTGAGAGCGGTAGAGCGAGCCGCGGTATCGGTGCTCTCCGTCGGTGCGACGCGTACCGAGGAATTTCGGTGGCTATGGGGGGAGCTGTGCGAGCGAGAGAGTACGGTAGAGCGTGCCGCGGTATCGGTGCTCTCGGTCGGTCCAACGCGTTAGTGACGTTCGTCACACAGTTTGTTGACTTAGCCGTGTACGCCGTGTACCAAGGTCGTACCATCCCGTGCAGG